CACTAGACCTAAAATTACTCTAAATACTATTAGCTGAGTAGTCAAGGCTTTACTTCTTTAACTTATTTCAGGTAACCTCTTTTTCCCGATCTTATCAATTTCAAGGTGCAACATAAATCGCAGTTATTCTTATCAGACGATGCCTTTTATGGCAGTGAACTATACCGTTATTCTTGGCGCTGAAAATTTACATTCATTTAATTTGCTGCGGCCCCAAGAAATGCAAATTCCGTCGTTGCAATGCGAAAATTCGCGCTTCCTCTCTCGTTCTTTTTTTTTCGTTTTTCCCTATTTTCTCGATTTTTCCCTATTTTCCCTTGTTTTATACCCTTGTTTCTGGGTATAATAATTTCAGTCCGAACCCCAAAAATCAGTGAAGGACTCATTTCCGACCCTATAAATCATATATATTCTTGATCAGCATTAAAAGCAGAATCGATCTAGACATGTTTGCAAGAAAATTAAAATTTTTAATTTTTTTTTTTAATTTTATGTTTAATTTTATTGTTTAAAGAGGTAAAGAAAAATCGAAAAATTTTAAATTGGTTAAATTTGTAATCTTTATATGCAGATTTATTAACCATAAAAAAACTAACTCAGAACAGCTTTCCAAATTGAATTTAATGCATTTTTGGCTTAGTTATTGAATTTTTAAGCCCAAAAATGATCATATAAAATTATGAATAAATATTTAAAATTCATACACCTTAAGGGGTATAATAATTTCAGTCCGAAGCCCAAAAATCAGTGAAGGACTCATTTCCGACCCTATAAATCATATATATTCTTGATCAGCATTAAAAACAGAATCGATCTAGACATGTTTGCAAGAAAATTAAAAATTTTAATTTTTTTTTTAAATTTTATGTTTAATTTTATTGTTTAAAGAGGTAAAGAAAAATCGAAAAATTTTAAATTGGTTAAATTTGTAATCTTTATATGCAGATTTATTAACCATAAAAAAACTAACTCAGAACAGCTTTCCAAATTGAATTTAATGCATTTTTGGCTTAGTTATTGAATTTTTAAGCCAAAAAATGATCATATAAAATTATGAATAAATATTTAAAATTAATACACCTTAAGGGGTATAATAATTTCAGTCCGAAGCCCAAAAATCAGTGAAGGACTCATTTCCGACCCTATAAATCATATATATTCTTGATCAGCATTAAAAACAGAATCGATCTAGACATGTTTGCAAGAAAATTAAAAATTTTAATTTTTTTTTTTAATTTTATGTTTAATTTTATTGTTTAAAGAGGTAAAGAAAAATCGAAAAATTTTAAATTGGTTAAATTTGTAATCTTTATATGCAGATTTATTACCCATAAAAAAACTAACTCAGAACAGCTTTCCAAATTGAATTTAATGCATTTTTGGCTTAGTTATTGAATTTTTAAGCCCAAAAATGATCATATAAAATTATGAATAAATATTTAAAATCAATACACCTTAAGGGGTATAATAATTTCAGTCCGAAGCCCAAAAATCAGTGAAGGACTCATTTCCGACCCTATAAATCATATATATTCTTGATCAGCATTAAAAGCAGAATCGATCTAGACATGTTTGCAAGAAAATTAAAAATTTTAATTTTTTTTTTTAATTTTATGTTTAATTTTATTGTTTAAAGAGGTAAAGAAAAATCGAAAAATTTTAAATTGGTTAAATTTGTAATCTTTATATGCAGATTTATTAACCATAAAAAAAACTAACTCAGAACAGCTTTCCAAATTGAATTTAATGCATTTTTGGCTTAGTTATTGAATTTTTAAGCCCAAAAATGATCATATAAAATTATGAATAAATATTTAAAATTAATACACCTTAAGGGGTATAATAATTTCAGTCCGAAGCCAGAAAATCAGGGAAGGACCCATTTCCGACCCTATAAATCATATATATTCTTGATCAGCATTAAAAACAGAATCGATCTAGACATGTTTGCAAGAAAATTAAAAATTTTTTTTTTTTTTAAATTTTATGTTTAATTTTATTGTTTAAGGAGGTAAAGAAAAATCGAAAAATTTTAAATTGGTTAAATTTGTAATCTTTATACGCAGATTTATTAACCATAAAAAAACTAACTCAGAACAGCTTTCCAAATTGAATTTAATGCATTTTTGGCTTAGTTATTGAATTTTTAAGCTTTATAATTCCCAACCCGCTAGGGTATACAAAATTCGGCTTCCTGAAGTTAGCTTCCTTTCTCCTCTTTTTCTCTTTATTTTTGGTCTGCGTTAATGCATATGTATGAGACTTAAGCAGGGCCACGTCTCGAAGTGCGGAGTACGAGTCCTACCGCTGTCAAATTATCGACACTTAAAATGTTGCAAACGTCGCTTGTTTGCAGGACTCTCTCTCTTTTTCTCCCTCTTTAAGGCCCCCTCTTAGCTTTTCCTAGTCTTCATCTTCATCGCGCCGGGCCGAGTGTCGTTGTCCTGCCAAAGGATTCCCGGCGACGTTTATGTAATCTTAATGTTTATGCAGCTTATGCTTCATAAATTCGCCTTCATTCCTCCGACCCCTTGTCGCTGAAATCACCTCCAATCCGTAATTCCCAAGTCCCCCCCTCCCCTATACCCCCTCGAACCACCATTAAAAGACCCCTCTCCCATTCTACCGAACCAACGCCAGTGCTTTTGGCGCCGCGACGACGTCTTCCGGTGGCATTTTGCTGAATCTGGAGCTCCTTCTCAGTCTCCATTTTATACCCTCGGTAGTTCGGTAATTTGGCCAGAATTTCGCCTAAAAAACTTTTGAGATTCCATAAAGCCAGAGAACTTATGCCGACCGACAAAATATGAAAGCTTAAAGTTCATCACCTTTAATTACTTTCGTGACGCCAATGAATAAGCGATAGATTTGAAATCGAACAAGATGCAAGGTATCTGAGAACTTTTAAGGGTTTACTTTTTTGGAAGGCCTTAACAGATTTATTTTTAAATTTAATACAATTTAATTTAAAATATTTTTAGGCATTAAAAACTAGCAATAACTTTAAAACCCTTTCTAGAACATGAGCAACACTGCGTATGAGTAATATGCAAGTAAATTCGGACCTAGCCTTGAAAATACATAAAATTAAGTGGTTTATTTATATTTTATAAATAATATAATTTATTTTTGTAAACTAAATAATAATACCTTATGGACAAATATTTAAAGGGTAGCTGTAGTTCCTTTTCTCCTTATTTTGCTAACCATTTATTTTGTGTGTTTTTCTTCGCTTTTCAAGCATTTTGTTTCCTTTTTTTCTGCACATCCGTTGCCATTTGTGCCATTTGTTTATTGCCAGTTTCATTGCTTCATTGCGAAGGTTGGCGGGGCTATGTACTGCGCTTATCTGGGGCCCCGGAAAACCAGCTCCTCCGTGCGCGCCGCCATCTTCCATCTTCATCCGCTTCTCGTTCGCATAGCTCCTGCTTTATTTTGGCTGATGGAAATATTTTTACGACAAGTTTTTCGCGAAGATTTGCAACATTTGCAGAAAACAGGCAGTCAGCCAACGGAAGTGGAAGTGCCACTGCCACTGCCAGCGGTAGTGGATGTGGATGTGGATGTGGATGTAGATGTGCCACTGCCACTGGAAGTTGTGCGAATCAGCGCAAAAAGTCCATGCCAGCAGCGGAGCCCAAAATGAAACGCACATTCTGGCCATAAAACGCTTAACGTTGATGCGTTCACTTTGATCGACCCCTGACCCGGGGCCCACTGTCCAATGCCCTTCCGCAGAAACAAAAAAAAAAAAGATAAAGAGACGGACACCGACGCATCCGGAGGATGTTGTCAAGTTTTATGTTCAACATCGCCCCGGCACCAAGCGAGAGATGTACTGAAATGGAATGAATTCTCGTTCATGAATTTTGCATGCGCCAGCAGAATGCAAAATTATAATTAGGCAGCCGGCAGCGCCACCGCGTGATGCGAGCGAAACAAGAGAGAGATACGTACGGCAATGGCTTTTCGCATTTTCCCCCTTTTTTTTGCCCACAGAGGAAACTCTGCCTCCCCCCCATTTACCACATTCCCAGGATTTTGCCTGTCAGGACGCGTTTCTCGGACGCTTTCAGAGTCCATGCACGTTCCGGCATAAAGTACATTTTATTAGCTTGCCTTTTGCATTGGGCGTTACGGCGGGTCAGTGGTTCACTGGTTCAGTGGATGGTATGCATGTGATTAGTACACAGAAAAAATTCTGGTGGGTTAAATGAACAATTTCTTTTGGTTAAATAACAGTAAAGCTACTGTCAATGTATTTTGTTGTTGGATTTGGTGACTGCACGACAGTTTATATGACAGTCAATTTCAGTCACCCTTACGTACGAGATTCTGTGTGTTTTTTGTTGTTGGCTTTGCGAACTGTCGTAACTGTCAGCTGCAGTCAAAATACTGTAGGTTTAACGTAAAAAGTTTTATGTGTTTCTTTATCTTGTTTGGTATCGTGTATGTATTTTTGCATTCCCAAGGTAAGTAACATTAACATTTTATAATTTTATTAAATATTTTATGAAAATCCATTACTTTTTCTGCCCACTAAAATACTTTCTGATATAATTCTGGTATATATTTCCAAACTTCTAGTATATAGCAAGCGTTTCTTGAAAAAACGATTTCGGGCACACTTAAAAAGCGGCGTCGGTTTCGAGAAGTTGTGCAGCGAAAAAGTGAAGTGAAAAAGTTAAAAGTAAAAGTTCTGAGTGATATTGACGAAGTGGCTACCTTGGAGGATCTTCTGGAGGAGTGGGATTTCAGAGACCTATTACCCACATTTCTCGGTAAGTTCCCAAACAATCATTTAAAGTATAATTAGATCCGCAATTGGCATATGTACATATACATATGCATTTATGCATACATATAAGTACATATATGTATGTATGTACATATGCAAGTACACGTACGCTGCTGATCGCAAGAAGAAACGCTTTTAAAAGTAAAGTTAGTATACAGATTAAAATATATACATATGTACATATATGTAAAAACTTATATTTGGCACTGATCCTTGATTGCTTTTCTTTATTTTACAATTTGAATAGCGATCAGCGGACATGTACATGCATGCAAATGTATTTTTTGGCTTCTTGTTGACTTGCGATGGCAACCATCTCAGGCGAGTGCGAGCAAGATAGCTGGCACTGACATCCAAGAACCGTTTGTTTTATATTTTATTATGATATACATATGTATATAATTAAATCTTTTATACTTTTCTATTTTGTTTTCAGGTGAGAGTATTCACATGTAACTATAAAACATAACTATGTAAATGGAATCAACAAAATGTAAGTAAAATATTTGGCCGTTTTCTATTAATTTTAATAAACAAATTTATTTAAATCAATTTTTATTTCAGAAAAGCTATAGTCGAGACAAAAGTACCAGTTCGGATGTGAAATATGGACAAATATATATTTGTGAGTATTGATAATCATCGTTTGACTTAATATTTATTTATTAATAAATTTACAATTTTAATATTTAATTTATTTATTCATAATATAGGAAATATATATATATAAGTCCATAATATTATTAATTAAGACCCTCTGTAAATATTTTTAAAGAATAAGTAATTAAAAAAATATTAATTAAGACCATCTGTAAATATTTTTAAAGAATAAGTAATTAAAAAAATACTATTAAAATTTTAAAATAATTTTTGGTTTTATTTTGGTGGTAATATGAACTGCAATTACTGTAGTCGGGGGTAGTCTAGAGTAAAATAGTAAAATAGTGTATTTCACAATTTTCGTGGTTTGGCGCTTTTTAACCGCAAAATCTTGGTTCCATGTACTGTAGAGCAGTACATGTTACGTAACGCGTTACGTCGTTATACTGCAGCGTACAGTTCATGGAACCCAAGATTTTGGTTGTTACCTTTTAACCCACGAAATGGTTGGATTTACCCACGATAATTTTTTCTGTGTATGACCAGGTTTCTGAATTTTTAAAGAATTTTAACGAGTCTCAAATGGCTTATACTTAAACACATTTTATTTAAATATATTAATGTATGTATTAAATAAGGAATTTTTAATATATTTAAATAACATCCAAGTATGTATTATTATTTGAAATATATATATTTTTTTTTGTATGCAAACTGTTTACACTATTTCGGTAATAACTTTTATTTAAAAACAATATTTTAAATAAATAAAATAAGTTTGCACAGAAATAAAAAAAATAATAATAATATTTTGGTATTTAGTTTTATTTAAGAAGTCTTATGATATCCTGTGTCCACCCCTGAAAAAGGTCACACTTACTCTGATTAAAAGAGTGTTTGCTGCGCCCTTCTTTCCCTTTTATATGATTTGATTCCCAATTAGTTTCCGTTTTGCCGACTTTTTTTCTTCCCGCTGACATCGCTGCGTATGCGTAATAATTTTTAAGTTGCGCCACACCCGAGGGCAAATGCAAATAAATATTCAATTGCAAATGGGGGCGGTCCACGCCCCTTTTATGTCCAAGGGCGGGGTCGGAAAGGGCTACACGCGAAGCGGACGCGCTCAAATTGCAAATTGCGCTCGTTTACAAGCGAAATAAATGCGAGCGCGCCTCTGCCATTTGGCAAAAGTCAGCCACAAACACACACACACACAGACTCAGATCTAAAGCCAGATCCTGACCCACCGCCATTCCTGGCTGCCATTTCCCCCTCCCCTCTGCCGGCATTAGAAAAATGAAGCGTCGTGCCGCAAAAGACAACTTGGTCGGGCCAACCGAGTCGGCATTTTTGTGTTGCGTGCTTTTCGGCGCGTAATTAGATAAGCAGCCAGTCGCCCCACTCCTGCTGTCCCACATTTCCTGCATTTTCCATAGAAAAAAAAATAAGAGAGGGAAACCCCAACTCCCCGGCAAGAACGTTGTCACAACAAGCCGCTGACAGATGGAGCGTCATAAAAGCGGCAGCAACCTCAACTCCAACAACAATGCGCCGCAAAAGTCTGAGGTTAGGCCGCGGAATAGGGGAATGGGGGAAAAAGGTGGAAAAGGAAAAGCGAAAAACGAAGAAGCACCAGAGGCAGGCCAGGGGGCCAAGCTGGCGGGGATTTGTCACGTGGCCGGCAAACGCACCTGGGGACAAAGAGGCGGACAAGGACACAACATGCAATTATACGCAATCAACATAAATCATTCAAATTGCCGCACACACACAGAGGCAAAGGCTAACCAGAAAGAATGCCTCGGACAAAAGGCCCCGACCATGGGGATCCCCAGTAAACAGAAAATCTTTAGGGTAAGAGGTTTTGGAAATAAATATAGAATATAAATAAATTTAAAAAACAAATAAAAGGTTTCTAAGGGGCTTTGAAAATAATTATAAAAAAAAAACATATATATATATATTTAAAGGAATTTAATTAAGGTACATGTATTCGAAAAAATATATATTTTTTTAAGTTCCAAAATAATTCATTTATTTTATGTAAAGATTAAGTAAAGAAATTTCAGGCCCTGACTTCATCTTTACAAAATCTCTACTGTCCCTAATATAATATTACGATTTCATAAGATATTTATAATAATAGAATAATAAATAGTCTTGGCTTGGACTTACCAAGTTGATGACAGTTGATGACATTCACCTACCTTTTTTCGCCATCGCAGCGTTGGCTGAGTTGCCTCTATTTAGAGGTAGCTGGAAGGAGAGAGTTAGATCGAGATGTAGAGAGGTTGTTAGAAAGAGAGCTAGAGAGTATAAGTGTTATGCCTTACTTAAAGCAAAGGTGTGAGCAGAGGTGAGCGAGAGCTGCGAGCAGAGGTGAGCGAGAGCTGCCAGCAGAGCTGAGGGCGGAGCTGATAGGAGAGCTGATAATGTCAGAGAACACGAACGAACACACACACACACAAACACTACGTGTATGAGAGCGCCGACACTGAGAGCTAAGCTGAGCTAACTAATTCGCTCTCATATTATCTTCGCTCTAAGCTGAGCGAGAGCTGAGAACAGAGCGGAGAACAGAGCGGAGCTGGTAATTTCAAAGAAACGAACGAACACACACACAAACACAAACACTACGTGTATGAGAGCGCCCACACTGAGAGTTAAGCTGAGCCGACTAATTCGCTCTCACATTATTGCTTATCATCTTCGCTCTAAGCTCTGCTCTCAGAGTAGGAGTCTGATTAAGTGATATACATATATGCATACATATTTATGTAAATATTGATATATAGATGTTAATATATGCAAAAGAAAATTACCCGCAAATAAACAAAAATAAATACAACAAAAAGTGAATATTTCAATTAATTAAAACCTTTCCTCCTTAAAACTAAAATCCCCTGCAGAATACACTGTTTGGTCCAGGGTACCTAAAAAGAAGGCATGCGGAACACTTCAGAGGGGGCGGCGTTTGGGGCGTGGCACCTGAACGTTGACGTTGGCTCTTGGCTAATTTGCAATTGAAATGCCCAAATGCTGTAGGCTGGCCGCATTACGCATACGCCGTGCTGGCTGCGTGGCAAAGGCTCCTTAAACTTCTGCCGCTGTCCATTCATCTTCATCGCCCCAGCAGCACCATTTCCCCCGTCGTAAAAACTGGGCTGACAAATGCCACAGGGGCACGTGAGTGGCCACAGGTCGGTTGATATTTAGCAGGCAGAAAGGAGTTTTTTTTTTTTTGGGAATAAAAAAAAAGTGAAGCCCCAAAGAAGAGGAGAGACAAAAGCAAACATTTACTGGTTAAAATATTAAATAATTAATTTATTAAAATATATGTAATATTACAAAATATATTACTTGTTAAAATATTTTTTAAACTTAATTTTCAGCCAGGTCTCTTGGTTTTTACGTAATTATTATTTAAAAGCTTAGATTAAATAATGAAAGTAGTACAAACGCTTGGCTTGTTTTCTAAACATGTCATATAATATAATAATAATATAATAATAATATAATAATAATATAATAATAATATAATAATAATATAATAATAATATAATAAATAACAATAATAATATAATAATAACAATATTAAATAAAAAATTAAAACTATTAATTATTATTATTACCCACAATTTCCGCTTTAAAAAAAACATTTGAGACTCAATATTTATATAATATAATTAATTAATATTTTTTATGAAGTATTGATAGCTTTAAATATTATTTAAATATTAAATATAAAATTAAAAATATTATTAATTATTTTAAATGTACCCATAATTTCCCCTTTACTTAAAAAAAAACATTTGAGACTTAATAATCTATTTTTTGAAGTATTGATAGCTTTCGATACATTGTCTGGATGCGCGTTTTGCGTTTCACGAATAATCTTCGGGAAGAGGGTGCCAAAAAAATATGCCAAGTCCTCCACAGACCGGGAAAGTTCAACCAGTTTTCGCAGTTCCATATTATCATCGAAGCGAACATCAATATTTTCTGTTTTCTCGTGGATCTTGGTTTTGCTTGAATATGTTTTTTTTTTTTGCTGTTTTTTGGGTATTATTCATAATGCCCGGAACTTGAAATTTTGGGAAATACGTTTTTCATTTTTTTGGTTGAAAATCGTTCGAACATTTTTTTGGATTTTCAAATGGTTTTGGCAATAGATATTCCAGAGGGACTTCTTCCTGAACTTTATATGTTTGCTCTATATCCAAACCCAAGTTCGCTTTACTCACGTTAGCCTAATCCAAGAGCAGCTCCATGGGCACATCGTAGACCTCGGAGATCTGGAGGGTCGTGTAGGCCACAACGCCGCTGGGACAGAAGGCCATCGCCTCCTCCAGTGGTATCCATTTGGAGTAATCCTCGCCGGCATAGATCACATGCAGGTAGATGATACCGTTGAAAATCGCATGGGTTATGATGCCCATTATGTTGGTGCCAATGCCGCCACTTCCGTTTCCGTTGCCTACTCCTGAGTTGTCATTGGTATTTCCGTTTAAGTTAACGGTTCCCGTTCCGCCACCGCCACTTCCGCTTCCGGTTCCGCCAATAACGTTGGCACTTTGGTTAACGGCAACTCCGCCATTGCCAGGATTAACACCAACACCGACGCCATCACCGCTTCCATTGCCACTCGCATTGTAATCGCTGGCGGTGGCCGGATTTAGATTGATGACCATCCTGCCAGGATATGGGATATATATTATTATTAATATTATTAATAATATTATATTGCTTACATCTTGATCTCTTACCTGACTAGAAAAATTATCAAAAAGAAAAAAACTTGAAAAGATAATCCAGATTTGGGTTTTGAGGGCTGTCTGGTATCCAACTTCCTGTTTTCGGTTACCGTCTTCTGGATCTGATCCTCTCCGGGTTTCTCTCACTCTCTAGTTCTCTCTCCTTCTCTTTCTTTTTCTCTTTTTCTCTCTGTTCCTCCGTCTGTCAGCCCCCGGAATATCCTTGAACTGAAACCTGCGAATTTGTTCGTGTCCCTTTTCGTTTCGATGAAGTCCTGTGGCTACGGGTCACTTTCACGGTTCTGGTAGGGGCGCCCCTCACACACGTCTCGGATCTCCTATGATGCGATGACGCGGCGGCGAACTCTTCATTCAACGAACTAAATACTTGCTTTGATTTTTTCCCCCGTTCGATTCGTTTTCTTTTATTTATGTATATATTTTTTTTTTGCAAATTTTTCGCTTTAGAGTTTTTTTTATTATTTTTTTTGTAAATCAAACGCTGTGAGTGTGTATTTCTGTGTGTGTCGAATTGTGTGTGTTGACTACCTGCAAATTCCATAAAATTCTAATGACAGCGGCATCGTGGGCATGTTGATCAAGGCAGCAAGGCCTTCTGCGCGGGGGAGCGTAAATTATTATAGTTTACAAAATAAAGAAAAATATATGTAACAAAATAAAAAATCTGTGTGTGTATGAAACAATTTGGATTCTAAATGAAAATATTGAAGATTGGAAATAATATTTTCATTAAATACTCGAACTATTCTAATAACAGGGTTTAGCATAGTCTTTGATCATGGAGTTCCTGCCTTCTAAAGCTTTATTTTTGGCATTGGCACGTGTAAGGCCATTCATTCGCTTATTTCCAGTCGCCTGGCAACTGGCAACTGGTTAACACACACTGAACTTTCCTATTTATGTACCTATACGTGTACGTGCTAGATTCACATTTTCCATTATCCTTTTCCCCGTTGCCAGATTATTTTTCCAGCAACAAATGAAGCACACGGCTAAGTTGTTGACATGGCAGCATCCTCCCACCTGCACTGCCTTCACCGAGCTTAGCTCCTTTATTTCCAGCGGAAAATGCAGTAGCGGAAAAGCGGGGGCGAAGAGCTTAAGTCGAAGCAAGAGCAGCCAAAGCAGCCCCAAAGCAATTAAATCGCATTCGCTGTGTGGCGAGCAAATAGGAATACGAGTCCCGAATCCGAGTCCCGGGCGGAGACAAACAATCAAACGGAAATTAATTGCGGGATGTGTGAAAAGTGAAAGGCAAAAGCTGCTTGGTAAATGATTGTCAAGCAGCGACAGTGATGGCGATTTTTCGCTCCCCCCCCAAAACCACACGCACACAGCATTCCATCTCTGCTCGCGCTTAACCCCTGATTGATAGCTGGCCAACCATGGGAGCGTTGACTCTTGCCCTCTGCCAGCTAAGATGGCTACAGAAAGGAACGAGTAAGCAGATCGACGAATACTGAAGAAAGAGTAAAAAAGGTCGAGTTAGGACGACGAGTAATCAGAGCGGCAACCAAACAGAACAACGAGCAAACAGAAAAACGAGTAATAGTAAAATTCGAGTAAGCCAGAAAAACATATAAGATTTTTACAAGAGAAACCCTTATATTATATATATTTTTCCCCTAAGTGTACGTTGGCATTCTGCAAACTCACTGGAACTTATGCTAAACACAAAAATGTTCCAATTTCATGTCATGATGATGGGTTGTTCACCCAAAAATCCATTGAGCCATCGGCCATGGCTTAATTAAGACATCGTTACGTGCACATTTTTTTGTTCTGCTTATTATATATATATTTTTTTTTTTTGACAATGAGGCTGCGGCCTACCCACAGTCCTGATCCGTAACCGTAACCGTAACCGCATCCGCATCCGGCTCATAATAAGGCGCCTCATTGGAGCGACAAGTGAGTTAAATCTTCATGAAACATTTGACAGTTTCCCAGGAGATGAAAGCGGGCAGAGAGAGTGGGGGGAGTGGCTGTGGGCATGCACGCCTCGGTTCCCCCAGCACCCACACACACACACACTGCACACTCAGCCCAGCCACACCACCTGCTGCAGTCACACTCACTTCATAACGCTGTCAAGGCTGAGCGATGCTGAAATATTGAAGCCGGAGACCCTTAAATATTCACGAGTTCAGGTGGCCTGAAAACCGTCGAAATGCAGTCAGGCATCATGACAATTTGGTGGAAAATCAGCGGTTAAAATATCCATTTTAAAATCCTATTTTTTTTTTGCCAGGATCCTCTGCGAAAGCCCACATTTTATGCAGAGTCTAGTGCTGTCAGGGGGCAAGTTCAACGACTGGCACAAATATGTGCATGCCGGAGAGTCAGAATCTAAAAACAATCCACCAACATAAACAATTTATGGACAACAAGCAAGCCAGCCAGGCAGGACTCTTTTCTTTTTGCGGAAAGGCAAAGGAACAGGACGAGCAGGACGAACAGGACGAAAAAAGACAGCGAAAGTAGCTTTGGCTTGCAGCTAGCTAACTTTTAGCTTGGCTTGTTAGTTAAGCGTAAACAAGGGGCTAAAGTGGGAGGAAACTTCAAGAAAAGTGGGTGGAGGGGCGTGGAAAACTGGGGTGGATATATGTTGGTAAAAAAATAGAGCCAAGCTCTGGCTTAGCTTAGGTCATTTGAATACATGTTTGGCTGGACAGACCTCAGCTCCATCGATGATAAGCGAGAGAAGTCAACACGAACGCTGGCGGTGTGGCTGGCTTGCAGAAAGTGGGCTGGGAAATGGCGAAAATGGCGAAAATGGCGAAAATGTCTAAAAGGGGGCGTGACGCCAGGTGGGGCGGCAAAGGCGGTCAGCATTTGGCGGCATTGTGTTTGTATTTGCGGTGCTAGAGAGAGGCGTAGAGTCAGCGCCAATGGTAAATATTTAGCTCTCGGCTGCACTTGAGATTAACTTGCACACAGAGATGCAGTGGGGAGAGGGGTGTGCACTCAAAAAAAAAAATACAGTAAACAGTACCATATAAAATACATAAAAAATAATAACGATAGAAGATTTATTAATATTTAAAACTTGTCTAAGAAATCGTTTTAAGCTTTCTCCTTTGCAACAAAGTTCAATGCCCTTCTCAATGCCATTTTCTGGCAGTGTACAGCATGGGAAAGAGAGTAATCGGGCAGCGAGGGTCCTGCAAAAAGAAGGGACAAAGCAAAGTGAAGCAAAATACAAACACACTCAAAAGTGAAAATGGAAAAAGTTTCAATGGTTTTATCATGTTTACTTATATTTGTGTCACTGAGTGGTTGTATAAGCCCCGGCCAGGGGTCAGGGGTCAGTCCAGGGGCTAAGCAAACACAGACAGAGGGTCGGCGGACAAGGAGGAGCTGCTAGAGCAGCTGCAGAAGCAGAAGCAGGACATGGACACGGGCATGGGACCTGGAGGGAGTCACATAAGAAGCGTATGTTCAACACACTCGAGGGAGATCACTGGCTGCCGTGAAGTGCCCGGACAAGTGACAGCACTGGATTTCGATAAGGACATACATACACACACAATGCCAGTGTCCTGGCCGCCCTGGTTAGTGCCCCAGCTGAGCCCTGCTGAGCCCCGGCGCCTTGGCTTAGCTCTATCGAACAGCAAGGACCCAGTTTTTGCCAAGGACCATCCCTTGGCCGCTCACCTAATCAGCTGCTAAGCCCAGTCCTGGCGCTAGGACAATTCCCGAGAACCCATAAAGACTCGTCCAGATGACCAAAAGCTTTGAAAGCCTTTCTGCTTTTCCAAGATGCGATCTTGGGAGGGTGAAGCTTAAGCTAAATAATTTCTAAATAATTATGAAACTAAAAATAAGCCAGGAAATATTTAATGCACTTTTAAATATTATTTTAAATAATATTATTAAAAATTAAAAGAATAAATGTATATAAAAATCATTAAAAGAAACCAGTAAATCCAAATTCTACACTTAAACCTATTCAAATACCTTAAAGCTAATCCAAGTTCCTTGAACATAAACAACTTATAAAATCAGCTCAATCGATAATTATTTTATTTGAATTTTCCTTTTGCCCCGATTAAGCCCACCTTCCTTTAGGCAGTTTACTTCAGCATTAAGCATTTATGCCGCAACTAAATTAAGCGTTAATCGGCTTCTGGCCATAATGCAGGCTTTGCATGTAATGCGTATATCCTCTCCCTTTCTCCTTTCAAAAATGCTCGCCACTAATTAATGAAAATCCTTGCATAAGGCTAAAACCCTCTCGGAAAAAGGACCTCCCTTGGATGTTTGTTGCGCAAGTTGACTTTGGGACAATTTTTGCATTGATTGGCTCTCGAGAGCCCATTGTGTCGTCCTGCCAGGAGCCGTGCTAGAGGCCTTCAAGTGTGCGATCGGAGATATGCTTTTAGCCTACAGGCCCTCTCGCCTGTCATTGTTTATATATTTTTTTTTTTTTTGAGCGCTGTTGCCTTTGTTTGCGCTTTTAGCAAGTAATTAGTTTGGCATAACCAGGGGGCGGTGATTTTAACCCCTTGACTCTCCATCCGCCACAGCCACAGCATGTGTGTCCCCATGAAGGTCAGCCTGGCCCTGGGCCAAGGGTTCGTTCAGGAAACGAGCTTTAAGTGTAGTTTCAATTGCAGACTTTCAAGAATATTCACAATATACACTTTTTAATAAAATGGGATATATTTTCCTATATTTAAAATTTTTGTAAGTCATAATTACGATGGTTTATATATGCTGTTAAGCGCGTTAGGTTTAATTTCCTTTAACTATTTAAAACTATTTTGTTATACATTTATATATATATATAAAAAAATATTTGTTCTATAAAATGGAAATTTAAAAAATATATGTATTATATTATCATCCACTCACCCCATGGCTCCCCCATGGCATAATGGCCCCGATCCGTGGCATTACTTTGGCCCGCTGTTATTCCACTTTTAACTGCCACAGTCTTGTCCTTTTGTCTTTTGTTTGTCCGGGCCCGAGTCCGAGTCTCTCTTTGGAATTTTGTAAGCGGATTTTTATTTTTGTGCCATTTGAACTTTTAATGTGCGTGCTGTGCCCGCTCCGTTTGGTTCTCTAAGCGGCTTGGCCGCCCTGCTAGTGGCAGCAGCAGTCAGTCGTCCAGTGCCATTGCAGTCCAATTTATACTTTCCCTCACCGCATTGTCCTATTTTCCCATTGCCCTTTGCCCCACCAATGCTTTTCCCATTGCATTAAAGTTTAAATGCCACGCGCTAGCGAAGCGTTTCAATCAACGGGTCAGCAAAGGGGGATCCTCGCGTGCCACTTAGCAGCAGAAATATATACATGTACAGATGCATTTACAGATACAGATACAGCTACAGGAAGCGGAAACGGATACGGATAGATTCCCTTTGGGTCTCGTTTGCAAAAAGGAATTTCTATTGGCAGCTAGGAATCCTTGTAATTGCTATAGCATCTCTGACCGAAACAAGTTACTTTTTCGGTGCACTTGAAACCAGAAAGGAGTAAAAAATATACTTCCCATACTTTAAATTAAATTGAAATTAAAATTTAATTTAAAT